CAACGCGACCGGAAATATATCGAATCAAGAGGCGTTGATTGGACAGCTGCGAGGTGATTCGTTTGGCGAATATATTCTACGCGTTTCTCGTTCTTCGTCTTCTCTTCTTTCTTCTTTTCCTTCTTCTCCTCCTTCTTCTTCTTCGCAGAAGATCTGACGCAACGGGACGAAAAGTGTCAGCGCGTGCAAACCGAGTTACGCCACCTTTTGGAATCGTTGGCAACGCTCGTCAGCGGTCCGAACAGATTCATCGAGTCTCACGAGAATGTCATTAAGGATCGCATTAGGGAGATCTTGGCCGAGAACAAAGATCAGGCTCTTGTATTTCTTATTCGTTTTCCTATTATCTAAGGACGTGACGTTTGATAACGTGCTGCGTTGCACGCAAGCGTCGAGTGGAAATGGAAAATTCGTAATTCGTTGAACGAATCTTTCCTCTTGCCTAGGCGATTCAAAAGCTTCGAGACAAGGTAAACGCGGCGACGGAATCCACTACTCGGCAGGGCGAATTGATCGAAACGACTGTGGCGAAGATGCGAAATCTCGAGGACGAACGATCGGACCTGGGGAATAAAGTTCGCAAATTAGAAACCGAGTTGAACGATTGCGAGCTGTCGAAGGAATCTCTGCGCAGAGAAAAACAAATGGTAACCGTATGCATATGTACGGATGTACGTGTGCACGTGTAAAGCGACAGCTTTAAAGCGACGTGATTTCGATCGATCGTACGTATCGTGCGTTTCGAATTGTTCCAGTTCGTAACGTTTCTCAACCGACTAGGAAAAGCGATGCAATTGGACGAGATCTCGGAGGAAATGGGTCTCGATGTTCAAACGGAATCGCTTCTGATACGAGCCGAGCAACTGGCCAGATTAGAAACCGACAAATTAGTGGATAAGGTAAAAAATACGAGATATCCAACTGACTCGAGGTTCGATTTCACTTTCTCCATCAAATTGCTAATGTGTTGTCTCGTTTGTTCTGTGTTTGTTTGCGTCGCAAATGTTGCGGTTTCCGCGGTCGCGCAGTTCTCGTGCTGCGACTACACCATCATACCGAGGATTCGGCGCGAGCGATCCTTCCACGAGCTTCCTTCTATGAAAGAAGTAAGCCAAATTGGCGAGCGAGATTTACCAAATGGTCGAACTTTCTGAATTTCATTTCGTATGGGACGCGACGACGACCCTCGAGAACGCTATTTCTGTCGCGACCATAACACGCTTTTATCATCGTACGCGCAATTCTATTCACAGTTCACGCGTCTGTCAGTTCTTCTTTCTCTTGTTTCCCTTGCTACTTAGACCTCGGTGGTGTATCAGCTGCAGCGTCGCGTAAGGACGCTTCGGGAGCAATTGCAACGCCGGGATCTTCATTTGGATCTCCTTCGCAGAAAATTATCGCTTCAAGAGGACAGCGTGAAAATGAAATCGTTGCTGCAAAGCGAGAGAGACGAAGCGAATCTTCGGTACGTACACGTACAGCGAATTTACCGCGCTTTTCCGTAATATAGGTAGCAATTGGAAAACGTTGTGTAAGGCGTTTCTCCACCTTGACGACTAATCGTTCGTTTCAAGAGCGAAGAAGTTGTCGAAACAAACCGATCGCTTGCAAGTTCAACTTTTGGAAGAGAGGTCAAGAAATCGCGAGCTAAGCGCCCAATTGACGGAAGCCGCGGATTACAAAGTAATCTTCTTGTTTGTTTCCTCTTACCGCGCTAAACGACACACGCACGCACACGCACACGCACACACACACACACACACACACAGAGTGGTGAGAGTCGATGTTTGAAAACTAGATAGCGGCTTTGGAACGCAGTCGAAAGATAGAAGAGGTTCAAAAACGGCTGGTCGAGAGCGAGATGCTGAGAACTCGATGCAACAGAAAATTAACCCTCTTGAAAGAACAAATGAGAACAACGAGCGAGACTGCCGAGCAGGAAAGATCCATCAGCGACCATTCGTTGCAACTGCTTAGGGACGAGCTGGCGCAAGTCAAACAAAATCTTTCCGAGATGACGAAAAGGGAATCCCAGGTAAGTAGGTGTTTGCCAACGAACTTGACATCGCGCGAGCTTGCGTGGTTTCGATCTTTCAATCGTTACGGTTTCCTCCTTCAGCTGCAAAGTTTCCGTGTTTCCGTGGTGAAATTATTATCGGAACCAATTTGCACACCCGATTACGAGATAATTTCGCGACTGCAAAAGACAATAGCGGCACATCGTGATTTCACCATGCTGTCGCGCCGATACGACGAGCCATTGGATACGACCAGTCCTTCCAGATGTACAAGGTAAAGTCCCATCTTCGGTTTATCCTTCACAGACGATAATGTCGGTTTGCTTAGGTCGGATTCGGTTTTTTTTTTCCACATATCTGAGAATACGTGCGAGAAACGTGCCATAACTGATACAGCGTTGTATAGAAAAGAACGTTATCGATATTTGCTCGTACGCGATACGAGCAATTTCTCTTTGCTCGTGTGCCTGTTGCGATCAGAAACCGAGATCGAAAGTAACGAAATAGTAGCGAAAACGGCCTAACCACTCTGTTTCAGCATACATACGATGCATCCTCCTAGATCGCCAGGGTCGCGATGCGCTCGTTACGAAGACAGCGGATTCGCAGATCCGCCGGATCTTCGCGATGTCGAAGACGAATTCAACAAACGACCGGTACGAAGCAGCCTACTTCCGTGACGTTGCGTCGATCGACGCGATTACCGCGTTAAACGTACGAATATTTCGAGCACGTAGAAATACGAGAAGTTCGATTAGACGAAAAGAAAAAAAAAAAAAAAAAAAAAAAAAAAAAAAAGAAA